TTGCATTGTATGCATCTGTTATGTGTGGTTGAGTGTATGTCTTTGATTTCTGGGATAAACTCCTATAGGTGATGTTATTTGACTTTGTTGGAACATGTTGACCCAGTGTTTTTCAGAGAGTTAATCCCAAGTTAAATTTTCATTTAAAAGGTTGTCCCAGTCTGAAAACTTATACTCATTACCTGCTGAACTTACTCTTTACTGGTACGTTTGGAAGTTTCTGAGTATCTGATTGTAAGTTTTGATGTCACCTTTCTCTTTATTGTGCTTGAGTTCTACCTTCCTTTGAATTAATAGCTTTTTCCTGTCTATTTTTTAAATATTTTCCTGATCTAAAAGATAAACATTCATTCATTTATTCATTACCAGTTATCATTGCAATTTTAATAAAGTATAATACTAATTAATATATTTAGCATCAAATACTAAAAAAGAAAACCTACAATTGATCAGCACTTACAAGCAGCCCATCCTTTCCTTTTTATAGATTTACCATGACTTTCACCCCCAACACGAATCATCATTTTTTGTGTGTGTATGTATTTTATACAGATGATGGTTTTTGGAATTATTCACCTATTTACCAACTTCTTTGTTCAAAGGTCCTTGTAGGACCCCTTTTTAAAACAAATAATTTTCTTCTTTGTAAAACATATTCTTCAATATATCCCTTTTGTTAATTAATAAGTTTAGTAAATAAAAGTTTTCTTGCAATAGGTACTTTTATGGTTTTTAACATTTTTTCCGAGAGTGTATTCCTTCATCCTATTCTTTAATGATAGCATAGTTGGAAGTATAGTTTTAGGATAACAATTAATGTTTCTCTGAACTTTCGAGATATTATTTAACTCATGTTTGATAACTATCACTGTTGACAATACTGCTTTCAGGGTATCTAATTGGTATTAACTTTTGTTTATCAATGATACAACTAGGATTATTTGCTAGGTTAGTTACATATTTATTGGAATCATACTTTATTTAAGTTTACAATAAGTTACTACTACATTTCTGTGTATTACAAAATGTTAGAATCCCTGCAATTGAGATTTGCTTGCAATAAATTTAATAATGAAGACATCTACAAAGAGACATAGCCTACACAAATGGGAAGTCCTGTGTTTGAGGTATGGGCATTGTGTTCAAGTAGACATCAGTCGGTGGGTAGAAATGATATTAGTTAGAGAAGGAGAAGAAGAGTTGGGTATAAAAGACAAGACACGGGTGTGTAGAAAAGTATAAAGTCCGTTAACTCCACTATGTTTCCCATGATTGGGACATAACAGAAAAGGTAATAGGTATATGGCATAACGCTTTTGGTATATGCAGGGGCCAAGTTACAAGAGGAAAATGCCATTGTCCTTAAAAGGGAAGATGGATACTTGAGAAATACTTAGCTCATAAAACTGTCAGACTTGTTGGTTGATTGGATATAGTTAAGTGAGAGAGACAGAGGGATTTGGAATGAGTTCTAGGATTCTGCTTGAATTTTACAGAAGACATCTTCTAATTTGATGAGTTGATGGGAGTTGCAGTTTGTCAACTCTTTTAAAGACCAAAGAAAAATGTCCCTGTGTACTCTTGAGGAACACAGCAGTTTGAAGATAATAATTTTTAAAAATATTCAGTGAATATATACACCATGAAAGAAGTTTAAAAATACTCTATGAGATTTAGATGTTGTTTATTAGATGTCTATATATCATTCAATAAATTAA